GTGTGTGTGTGTGTGTGTGTTCTCTTTATAAAGTATTAAAATAAGCATTCAATAAGAATTAAGAGCTTCTAAATTTATTGAACACTTGCTATGTATGATAATTCTTTAGCAATGTACACTTAATATTGGTTTTACCTCTCTTATTTTAAATTATTTAATTGACAACTTCTGCATCCCTTCACCAGCAAAAGGCTCCATTGTTCTTACCTTACAACGGCAGCCTATATGCTAACATAAATCATTAAATAGTAATTTCTTACTAGATAGATATAATTTTTTTTTTATTTATTCATAATAAAGCATTATAATAATAAATGTATACAAAAATTGCTTAAAGAGTCGATTACCCACCATTTTAAGCAATACTGATGTTGATGGCACTTATATACATCATATGATAAATAACGAATATTAAGAACATTTTTAATTTATGAAAAATATTTTACAAGATATCTGGTGAGTATAATAAATAATGTGTGGGTAGTTTAATTAAGATGGTATTTAACTATTTGGTGTTAATATTCCAGCTCTATTTCGTTTTTTTTTTATAATTAAGGTCTGGAGTATAACTCTTATATTTATGTATATTTTTTTTAAGATTTACTATAAAAATATTCAGTACTTAAAGATAAGATTTAAACAATTTACTCCTTGTATCATTTAATGTATGTATTGAATTAACAACAAATAATTAAATTAGCTGTAAGCCAACATAATTTAACTATATAATTTATATTCCAATATTCTTGTTTTACAAAAATAAAACTCATTAAAATTTGGTATTGCATGCATTTCAATTATCTTTTGGATCAAACACATTGTCTTTTTTTAAACAATTGTCTTAATATTTTCATTATTAGCAAATAAAACTATGTTCTAGTCTTGATTGACACCCGATTAAAAATAAAATTGAGGTATTATACAAAGGCATTTACACTCATTCAGATCTGTATAATATATTTTAGAAATTATGTATTAAACAACATAGGCAACATAATTAGTTTCAGTTGATAATATTACTTGGTTGTTAATTTGATGGTTAATTAATTTATTATTTACAAAATATATACATCTATAGACTTAATATTGAAAAAAATTATATTTTTGCTTATATTTTTTTCATTAAATTTTAATATCATAATTTTTTTTTTCTAAATTTTATTCAACTATACAATCTATCACTTAAATCTTGAACCTCAAATATCTTAAGTTGAGTAAAGTCAATAGTATCTTAAAAATACAGAATTACCTTTTTGTATTTTTCACAAACAATTTCGATAGTATTTTCATTATGGATGAAATAAATATAATAAACAATTTGTTTTTGCTTTGTAATTATAAAACTGTGTTTATAATTTTTAATATTTATTTTAATTCCATTAAATATTATAGTACGATGAGTTCCAGCGATGTTGTTTAACAAGGGCCAATATCATACATATTTATGAGTATTGGTAAAACTGTTATTTGTTGATTTGCTATTATTTAATGAGCATATTTTTCATGACATCATGACATCTATTGATTAATTATTATAAAAGTTTTTCATGTTTTCATAAAAGAGAAGTTTAATTTCTTTATATGATTTTCAAATTTAAATGCACAGCAATTATCAAGGGATCACACTAAATGTAGTCATCACATAAATATAAAAGGCCATGTATATTGTGAGGTACATAATGTACACCATAAATATTTGGAAAATTTTAATAAAAAAAATCTAATAATATTTAGTATAATCTATTAAAAATCCAAGGTCAAGACAGGACTTAAAAGAATTGCCATGGCAATATCTAATGACATGGCATTATTGTAACACTGTTTACCGATAATATTTTTTAGTATAAGTTGTCCACTGTATAAGAAAAATAGGCAAAGCTCAGTTGATTTCCATTGACATAAATTTTGTATATTTCTGTTTTTTCTCACAAAATCTTATGTAGTTCATGAATTTAATGATAGTAACAATGAAAATAGTTAGTTTATTTTTTATATAGTGTTATCAAACATTTAATGGACCTTTTTGAACCCAGAGAAATAATATTTTTTTCATGACACCCAAACATACAACATGCACGTAGTCCTCTAGAAATAAGGTTCATAAATAATTATAAATAACACAAGGAATAGTGAGATAGACTTCGTCTAAATTCTAAAACATTAATATAAAAAATAAAGTGTATTACAAAATTTACCTTGATATTATTTAAAACTATACCATTTAAAGTTAATTGTTTAACTCCTTTGACAAAATCTAATAAAAGTTCATCACTATCATCATATCTACCTAAAATATAATAACTATTAATTTAATATATTAAATTATCGAAATAGGTAGGTAGAATAGAGGTATTTCATATAATATTTTATAGAGGTACATTAATTTTTTTAATATCCATACTTATTATTCTTAATTTGATACTTATTTTAGTATTTCTAAGTTACCGAAATTACTTTAAATCTTAATATTTGAGTTTGATTGCTGATCTGAGATATTATGACTACCTGCCTAATAACAGAATTTATTCTTTACAATTACTATCTTGAATTGTATCACATATACCGTCTATATAGTATATTATCTACTACCTATTCAATATTCTAAGTATGATATATATGTTTAAATTATTTAGTATGTACTTAATATTATAGATAGTACTTCTATAGTCAATACAATTATTGTAACTAATTTTCTTGAATGAACTTTTCTTTCAGATTATTTATTAACATTTTGCCAACAACTTGTTTTGCGAACAATCAGACACTTGTATCTCGTTTTTTAAGGTAAAAAATGTTTTTTTTTTTTTTTAATATTTTTTTTTCTACTTTTTATTTAATATTTATTTATTATACATAGATTTTCACTTTGAGATCTACAATTAGAATTACGAGTAAATTCAATTGAAAGTAATTTCCACACTAAACCTGGTAAAGAATATAAATTAACTATTGAAATCGACATTCAATCAACTTTTCAACAGTCTGTGCATTCTACACTAAAGTTAACCAAAATGTCTGATAACGTATTCGTCAAGCCCATGGATGTTGTTAAAGTAAAATTGGAAAAATTTGACAATAGTGTAGATCCTACATTACAAACAGTTGAACGAGTATCTGTTATCAAGGAAATTAAACCCAGCTATGTTGAGATTAAGTTGGAAAATTCTAACTATAATGACGAAGCCACTCCTAGCACATCATATAGTACATCATCTAGCACATCAAGTAAGTTAAAAAATATAAACATTGTTATTAAAATTAAAGATTTTTCGGAATATTTGTTTGGTATAGATATTTCAATCGTTGGTAGTTATTATATATCATACTAGTTAAATATTTATTTATTATTGTCTATTATTATTAAAACAAAAATTATGCCATTATTAAATTTATGCAAAAACATTAATTGTAACTAGCCTGGTGAGTCATAAAAAAATGGTATTGAAGAGTTGTAGTTTTTAAAATTACTGAGTAGGTTCAAATTTCTGAATTTTTAAATGTCGATTTAATTTATTGAGCAGTGTCTACCAATTGAAAATCTGAAAATGCTGCAAAGTTGAAAAGATTATCTCCCTTAACAACTTTTCAGTTTGAATCATCTGTTATCCATGTACTTTCATCTGTTTTTAATAGCTATCAATGTAGTATTTTTCTAAGATAAGTTTTTCAAAAAGATCGTGTATAGTTTTATGTTTTACATACCTATTGCTTATTTAATTTTTGTTTGTCTGTTTTGAGATTGTAATCTATTATAACTTAATGTACTTTAAGTGACTTTTTAATGTAAACAAAAAGCTGACATAAATCCAATATCGCTTGCTGAATTTATATTTGTCTTAGTGTATTAACATTAAGAATATGTCCCTAATTAGAAAGTGAATCATTAAAGTAAGTTATCATAAGATTTGTTTTTTTCTTTTAAATACATTTATAAATATTATTTTATAACATATTTCTACTAATGATAATTGTAGTATAATCTGTAACAAATAATTACCATTTCAATAAAAAAAAATGAAAAAATATTTCTTAAGTAAAAACAAAACTTATGTGAAAGCCATCTTATAACAATATTAAAAAAATAATCTATAAATTTCATATGATTCAAGAAATCTATTGATGTAATTTTTATTAAAAACTGTACAGTAATTTTTGAGTACATGATAGAACAAACAAAGAGATAACCGTTTACATATTATATTAATAAAATATACGATATACATAATAATAGATTATTATTTTTGCATCTAACATATTAAATATATTATAAAAATAAAAAGCATGGGTATCAAATTTGTTACAATCAAATAAAAGATAAAATGTGTTGTCTTGCCGACTTACTAACTCAAACATGAATAACTAAACGTTTAGAAGAACCAGTTTTATTTTGTTGTTTTTAATATTAGAAAGAATTAACCTATAATAAAATTTTAAATTAAGAAAATTATTTAAGGTACTTAACAATAACATTAATAAATATAATTATTAATTTATAAAATGCTCATAATATACATCAAAATTAAAATAGCAAAAAAAAATATCTAAGACTTACTTTTAGTAAACTGTTTTTAGTAAAACAATCCTAAAATCAAGATATTATAATATACATAATCTGATTACCGGGGAATAATGTTAAGCCAACACAATATTCTTATGGTAAGCATTTATATGTTATTTATTACTGACTGTTATTCATCGGTGTAAGGTGTCCACGGTTCTATTTTTTTAATATTAAAATTTAAAAAATAGCCAAAGAAAAATAAAAAGTATATTATTACGTAACCGAATATCCAGATATCTTCAGAACAGATAGAATTGTATAATTTAGTATTTGATTTTTTCGAAGTACTAGGTGACATGAAAGTCGTAAAGGTTTTCAATTTGATAATTTAATAGAACATTTTGTTATTTCATGTTTTAACTCATTCAATACTTAATATAAATTTTTAAGTTACTTGCACATTTTAAATATACTTTGTTTATTTTTTTCGTTTGTAAATAGAACCTCAACCCAAGAAGAGAAGGGGTGGAAGGAAGAAGAAAGTGGTGAAGAAAGTGGTAAAGAAAGTGAAGAAGGAACCAACTGAACAACCGGAAAAAAAACTGTTAAATCCTAAATCGATGGTGAGATATGACAGCGCAGTTTGTAATGGTTATCAGTCAATATGGGTGTGCAAAAATTGTCTAACAACTGTGCTGTCGGAAAATGATGTTAACCCCCATATTACAAGATGTAAGAAACGGATGACTTTCAATATACGCGGAGTTACGAAAAATCGAGTTCCAGTTAATTGTTTTCGACAAACGTAAATTATTTAAATTGCAATAATTTAATGGTTCTTATTCATTTGAAAGTCGTAATGTTTTGTTTTTTTTCATATTTTTTGTTTAGTGCTAGTCCGGAGCCTTATATTTGTAAATGCTGTAGTTTGGTATTCAGACGGAAAGTTACACTAGATCGACACCTGATAAATAAAAAAAATAAAGCTACCACGTCTGACGAAGAAGAAGATAATCGTAAAACAAAAAGAAAGTACAGGAAGAAGAAAAAATAATTTTTTTTTTGTTCTGGTAATAATAATAATATAAAACTAAATGTAAATGCCTTAATTATTTATATTCAGATCGTATAATAATTTATCCTTACAAAAGAATAAAACGGTTCTTAAGTAGATATTTCTCTTTTCATTAGTTTCAAATAAACTAATTCTTTTTGTGTTTAATAATTCTTTATTTATATTTAGATTACATACCTATGTAAGGCGAGGGTATTTTTATAACATTTGTCTTTATTTTTTTCTAAAAGTCGACTAACGTCGGATTGTCAATACATGTACCTATCTAAAATTGCGGACGAAAAATCAATTTTAAAAAAGTTGGACAAAAAGTCTGGATTCAGTTTTTACAGTCGGGCAAAAAGTCTATGCACATTTTTAGTGTTTGACCAAATTACTGAAAATACAAAATAGGTATTTATTCTATATAATAAATATTTATTTTAAAAATTTAAAAATGGTTTGTACATACCTATATTATATTATTTTTTTTTCTATTTTCTTATTCTATTATTTCATATAATAACTATATATAACTATAAATAAAAATATAACGGAAATCCATTATAGTTAGGTACCTATAAATCGCGATGATGTTTATCGCGGCTGTAATATATCTTCATGTTATCTACCAAAATATTATGGGTACTTACAAACGTTAATCAATATTATTATCACAATTATTATATAGATCTAGATACGTCATTATATAGGTATAATGTTTATTTTCTCTTATAGATATAATCGATTTCATGAGGGACGTGAATTATAAACTGAGGTTGTCACTTACACGGTGTATCGCGAGACGTTTAATTGAAATGGAGTTTATTGTAATTAAAAAAATTGCTCATAATGGAAATTTATATAAAGTTCATCATAAGCTCGTTTCTAGTATTAAGAAAAAAATGTCCTGATATTTTAGTAACTTCCAATGGTAAACTAAAAAAAATTATACTATTTAAAAAATAGCATTTTATTTTTTTAATAAACACGTTTAAATAAAATTTAATTAGATTTTAAAAATCTAAAAATTGAGCCTGAATATTCGCATGGAGGTGATAAGAATATATAGAAATAGTAGGGAAAGCTAAATCTTGAATATTAAAACGTACAGTTACAACTTTGTCATTGTCTAAGAAAACGTAATTTATGTTAATATTTTTAATTATATGTATAGACCTATTAAAATTAATAATAAATTATATTAAGTATAGATGAAAATTTAATAGAATATTTTGTAATTTAGGACTTTTTGTCCAACTTTTTTTAAAACGGATTTTTTGAACGATTACCACACACACGATACATATATGAGTTGGCAAGAAATTGTCATTTATGACTAGTAATTGACATTAATTCCTAATAAAAGAAGACAATGATGCTAAATTTAATATTCAATAATATTAAAATATTAAATAAATTAATAATTATTTGTTATTATTTATTACATCAAGGTAAACTAATATGGTACTTAGAGTTACATAATTTTGTAGAAAGCATGACATTATGACAAGCACATCTATTAATTTTACATTGTGTATTACAGTTGTATCTTGTAAAACCTTATGATCCCGAAATGCTGTTCAAAGCAGTTGATTGATAAAAATAACATAATACTTACCAATGTTCCTATAATCTTTTGTATACTTCTTTTTGCTGGCCTTGGATAGCGTTATTTTAGACTACTTTATTTCTTCAATTCGTTCACAATATTCGTTATGATTGGAAAAAAATTTAATTAGATTTTAAAAATATAAACAAAACGCGGAAGTTAACAATGCAACTA